TTACGCGTGTCAAACCTCCCCTGCTTTCCCGCTTCTAGCGTAATTATCAATATTTAACGGCGCATGCGCATACGATCGTGTCCTCGCTGAATCGTCATCTCACATAAATCTGTCCGGTCACGTTCTCGAATTCCGCGCCTTGATTAGGATGGATTTCAGGCAGCAGCTAGGGAGTGACTCCGCCACCCACGTATTCAATTTTCCGAAAAGCTCGGATGTTTGGTCCATCGCTGCTCGTGAGTCTCGCAGTTGCACAAAGCCGCGGCATGACGTCCAAGGTGTTCCGTCGACAATAGTGGAATACAGCATGGAAAAGAGAAATCCCCACGGTCCCCTCTGCCCGTTGATCCCATCGATTCACGGTTCACTTAGTTCGAGTCTTCCTTCGACATTTGTCGTACAACTCACTTCGATGTTGTTACATAACGATTCACCGTCCACGAGACATCAAGTCCCACCCGTTGTCGGTAAACCGGCATACATTTCCCTCGGACTGCGCTTGATCGTTCAAGTAAATTTTATGGGTAGCCCGTTTCATTTTCTTCTCGTATCTAGTAGTAGTCTGCCGGGACTACTACCCATGGGATTCCGTCGCACCGCGGCCGGTTCTGCCCATAATTATAGCCCGGAGCGAGCTCAATAGAAAGACGTTTTAAATGATGGTGAGGTATATAAGACTTGCGTGAGAAAAGTAGGTTTGTATGTTATGAATGCCGTGTAATTAATATCGAAGAAAGCAATTTTTAGAGAAGTTATATAATCTTCTTATTTCTCGAGTGTGTAACGTGCACAATATAATTATAACGTCTCAGCCGTCATTTAATAGTCCTAATTTCTGCGTTTCATTCCGCATTCAGTCCCATGCCCGTTCTCAAGTTTTATTATTCTACGCTGTCATCGGAACTAATACGGGAATATATAATCCGTGACACAAAATATTCTAAAACGGCCTATGTTTCTCGGGGCTTCTCCACGGCCCAGGTCGCTCCGAGCTGGCCCGCGCGGAGTCACGTGGCAATAACTCTAAAATTTGATTGCAGCAGACATTGGGATAGGGGCTACCCCCAAGGCAACCGTGGTAATAGGCCCTCAACCCTCGCACCCACGCTCTTTCCGTTCTCGGGCTAAGCTCCGGACCAGCTCCGCCACCACTACCATCCAACACTACGTCGTAAATAAAACGAAATTGTTGACCGGTACCTTTCGGCTGGTTAAGCGTTAAACAAAGGCCCACGGGATGTCGGGCGCCATATCTTTGATCTCTGTTTGCCGAGGCATGCATCACCCGCGAGATAATCAGGAATAATTATTTGTTAGATAAATACGATCGCAGCCGGCGATAGCGCGCTAAATTTATGATGGACCGCTTGCCGTTTGCAAATGACGTAGAGGAGAGAGAGAGAGAGAGCTCGTTCGCGCGTTCGCGCGCGCGCGCGCCCGCCGAGTTATGAATATCACTACTCGGAGCACGCGGAGCACGAAAATCGAGCGCGTGTTGAGAAGTTGGCGCGAATTTCGTCTAATGATAATGAACGATATCGCGATCCCACATTTAGATACATAATTTTATTCGGATATCTAAATAGATTCATCTGAGTATTTAAATTATTTCTCTGAATTTCCATCGAGCGCTATCTTGAACGTCTTTGAAGTTCCCAGAAAAAAAAATAATAAAGGAAAGAGAAACCTCGTAGATTAAGTCACGCGTCTCTCGGTCTGAAGTGACTTTGATATCGTGTTCTGCCCGCACGTGTATATTAGCGCGTGTCGACGCGTGTATGTATGTGCGTCGAATGATAGACATGCCTCTTGCCGTGTCTGACTCTTGCGTAACGCTCGGCTAACTCGAATAGCCTTTCCGATCCTTTCGAGCCCCGCGAGAGGATCGTTGCATCTCTACCTCGCGCGTTCCTCGCATACCAAGCGAAATCGATGTGTCCCGCATCACCTGCATCGGTGCGTCGACGGAGGCTGATTCTCATGCAGATATTTTCAAGCACATTGGACACCAAACGAACTCGCTCGATTCTCACGGTCGCGTTACCTATCGTGATCTTTAAACGATGGTATCACGCAGATATATCATATTTGTCGGACACATTTATATTCTTTTCTTCTTTCTGCTTCCTTTTGAAATACGCGCCAATAATATGGAGATTTTATTCCAGGTGTCTGCGACAGGGAGACGAGAAATAAGCGAGAGGAAGAGATTGCCGAAATTATTCTTTGGTTTAAGTTAATTTACAATCCATTATAAACGAGTGTTTTTTGTGAAAATGTGTGTGAAATTAATTCTTACAAGGCCCGTCGAATGTACACGGAGAGAATTTTGTCTGAAAATTTATCATGAAAGTCGTCGGACGACATTTCCAAGAATTTTATGAGAGTTTTTTTGTTGAAAGTTTACCGTACAGTTTACTAGTAGAATGTGTGGTAAAATTTCCAACGATTGAGTGATTTTCTGGATAAACTTTAAGAGAGAAAATTCACTCTGCGAACAAAGTCAGAATTATTCAATTTTACACCACGGCCGATTCGGCCTTTGAAAATTTCCAGAGGGAAGATCCGGAGTCTACCGCGGTCTACCGTGTCGTACATCAACGTCTCGCGCAAGGTGGGCGGACGTCGCGTCAGCGGCTGACGCCCCGCGAAATTGAATCTAAAGGTCCGAGTGTATCCCCACACACCCAGTCCTCCCCACTGAGCTGCAGGGAGGTCGCAAATCATCACCTCGCTACATTTACAACGTTAGATAGCCCAAGATTACAGTCGTCCCAAGCTCGGCTACGCCGTAGGAACGCAAGGCGCCCTCTCCCCGCCCTTCGTTTTCTTTCCCTCGGCCGGGATATTACGGCGCCCTTCGCGAAAGCGATCCTGTGCCGTTCTCGCGGGCTCGTTGCCTACTTAAGCGAAACAATGTGGTCCCTCGGCGATTGGCCGCGCGAGCAACGTTCAGCTCGTAAATTATCCGCCGGCGGGGACTAATGAGCTCGTGATTATAGGGATTGGGGATAAAAAAGGGCGGTTCTTGCCGATGCGCGATGACGTTCGCGCTGGTGATATATCTCGGGTTTATTGCTGCTCTTGATGAATATGCGAAAGTGTATCGGGACGATTTCTTTTCCCAGCGAAGCAGGATGGATCCGGGCCTCTGCTCTGGAGCGGAGCGCGAGGATGCGTCGGACTCGATTAGATTCAACGGAATGACGTGGGTTCAGGGGGGGGAGTCTCTAAATTATCGGAGATGGTACACGTTTCCAAAACAACAATCTGTATATGTCCCACTATCGCCACCCGAACATCTTTAAGCCGCGCTCGCGAAATGTAAAATATTACCTGCTTTCTTACGTGAGATGAAAAATCCCACGCGAGGCGCGCTCACCCCGTTCTTATCTCCCGCTTGGCAAGATTAAGAAAATTCACCGTATTACGCGACCTCGCGTAAGATCCCGGGCCATTATTTACGAACTAAGGCTTGATGATCTCGAGAGGATCAGCCGTATTCCGTTTGCCGATAGAATTTGCTCCCGGCCGGTCAAACAATGCCCTGAAGCGCGCTATCGGGCCGAGTCTCTCTCTTTCCGTCTCTCGTATTTCTCCTAAAACGACGCGAGCGTTCACGTGTGCCACGGCAGCAGAAAGGATTGGAGGTGGGTATTCCCTTACTTTTTTTTGTTCACGAGGGACTTTGGTCTCGCACACGAAATTCCAGACATCTTCCTCCCTCTCTCTCTCTCGCCCGTTGGCCCTTCCGTGTCCTCTCTCGCGCGGCCTGCGGAACATACACAGCGAGCGCATACAGATTCGCCCTTGCTCGCTCGTCTTAAGCCGTTCCCGCGTTTTTACATTCTCGACGAAATCCCCGCGGCTTTGTGCCCGTTTATTACGTTTGCCAACCAAATGATGTCATTAGATATACTTAGGCCGGGTTTTATTGTCGCCTTTTATGCCGGTCGGACGGCTTCCGTGAAACGAATTCGTGCTGAACGTTCACGACTCATCGGTTATCACGCCGAAATTCGCTCGCTGTCTCGCTCACGTTTCTCGGACAGGCGGCCCTACGACTTCTTTCCTCCTCTTCTCACGGCCACGTGAGAACCAGCTATACTGTTTTATTGCCTTTATATTGCCGGACGTTCCGTGCCAGCTTTCCACGTGAGATTACGCGTTCCCTGTACACGCGTATCTTTTTACGATAAGTCTTTGTACGTTACACGTATCCCGAGTGCAACGAAACCCGTCCAAGTTATCCGTGGATAGTGAACCATGTATTTTAGAACACGAAAAGCTGACACGGTTGTCCGATCAGTGCTGCTAATTGTAAGCCGTTACGAAACTGGTGAAAATAAATCAGTTTGATTTTATTACGTGCGAGTGGAAAGTTGCCAAATTTCTGTGCCTGGCGATAGCACGGCACATGTTTGAAAATATTTCTCGTTAATCTTTAACTCTATTTTGAACATTCTTAATCAAAATTTACGATAATCCACACACTCCATCGAACGCATAAACGTCAAAATAAAGATTTATCTCAGTCGAGTCGTCAAAATGTTAAGTTATATCTGTACACTGTAGATAATTATTATCAGAAAGATGCTAGGATTACAAAATGTTGAAAAAAAAACGTGGCCCATGAGGGGATCGAACCCGCGACCTTCGCGTTATTAGCACGACGCTCTAACCAACTGAGCTAATGGGCCTGTCGGCTACGAGAATGCAACTTGAGAATTTTACCAGTAGAGCATGACATACTTGTCATTTAATGCAATTGCATCAATGTCGATGCAATTATTGGCAAAGCAATGTATTAAATAATAATCGTGAAATCAATACAAATAAACCGAAATGCTGACATAACAGACTAGACAAGTCAAGATTTTTTTACAAAATGATTAAGAAACGTATTGGAGAATCGACAGTCTTCTTTTTCAGTTATACTGACATTTTTGGCCATCAAAATTCGTTAAATAAATTGATAAGTGTAGATTAAATTTACAAGAGCAAAATGCCGGTCGAATTGCCCGTTGACCTGTTAAATAAACCGCTGCCGGAGATTGTTTTCAGAAGAAAAAATAACGCCTTATTCAAGAAACTAGCGCGAAAGACTCACTTCAATATGAGAGAAGTTGAAGGTTATTCAGTAAAATAAATTAAAATAAATATACACAGTAATCTTGTCTTTAACACGATTTCTATGCATTTGCGATAAGTTTTACCGCTGAACAATTTTTATCGTAGCGTTAGCTGTTATACATAGGAAAATAACACAAACTTTGGGTCCTATGACAAGACTGGTGTTTAGAGATGTTTTGCACTCTGGCCTGGATTTCACTGAAAATATTCGGCATCTATATATCGACAGAATATTCTCTGCGTTGGACAAGAAAAACGTTCTGCAGGTATGATAAATTAACGCGAGGTATATCCGACAATTTTAATTTCTTTCTATGGCAATTAAAATTATCATGCGGACGCACAGATTCATCTAGAACAATGGATCGAAGGGCTCTCCACAATTCTTCGCGGCAATCTGAATGAAAGGATACACTTCGCCTTTAGCGTAATCTTTATGCTTCTACAACTAATCTAATTATCTAATTTGCATGAAAATTTTTTCGAAAGCTAAAATTACTTTACCTTTGAGAAGCTCGCAAAACTAAGCTCGAATTGAAAACAACTATTATTTAATATTAATATTCACATAATACAGATATACGATTTTATGCACACTAACAAATTGAAGAAGGAACAAATATTTCTGACAATGCGTGGTTGCCTGATCAAACTGCCAACGGACGAAGATCCCGACGAAGCTGTGAAGGTAAATGCATTATGACAATAGATAAAACTTGGGCCTTACTGTTATTACTAAAATACCAGCGATATTATTCCGTATCTTCAGAGCGTAAAGTTTACAGAAAACAATAGTAAGCGTTTATGGCGTCACAGGATTTGATAGATTCACTGTTGAAAAAGCTCGACGTCGATCGCGACGGTGTAATATCCGAAGAAGAATTTCACAGGGCCATAAAAGAGAGAAACCTACTGTTATTAGAATGTATGGGGCCGGTGTTTCCGTCTAGAGTAGCGCGGCGGACATTCCTGAGCACATTCACGGATCGGCTCGGGCGATTTTGATCCGCAAGTTTCACGAGGCAAGTGATCGTATGTAATCGCGCGCTCGGTGGCATCTTTGTTTTGTCAAAACTGTAACAACAGACTTGTATAATAAACATGTGAGCAAGCCGCTTGAATTATATTGTCAGGACCTATTGAAGCTAGGGAACCCAAAAGTGCATCTCGACGGACAAACGCGTGAAATCAGACAGAAAAATCCTCCTGAACGAGCGACGCTCCAATAAATTTTCAAGACCGTACGGCTCGACGCAACGCACGGCTTTTACGATTCACCGAACGATGGCAATTGACTCGTTCGTTTTCTTCGCAAACAATCGCTAATGGACCGCGATAATGCCGCATCCTAATCGCATCAGGCCGCATCCGCGATACGATCATCAGCGGGTGAACTGAATCGATCGCTCGATCAATCCATCGCTCATAAATCTTATTACTGTGATCAGCGTGAGTAGATGATCGATCCATATATCCGCATGCTATTTACGTGCGATGCGTCGATCGACGATCTGCGTTTTGCAATCTGTTATTACTTATACATCGTAAAAACACTGCCGAGTAGAGGATGATACGCTCCGAAGGCGCGAAAAGGGAAGGAGAAAGGGAAAGGCGTTCTATCGCGCGGATCGCACGCCGCGGTCCACCTGCCCCGCGATCTCTCGATTAATAGAGACCGCTCGCGAGATCCGGAACAAATATAGACCTTCCTCGCGAGCGAGACGGGCCGTAACCCCACCACCGCGAGTCGCGGTCGTACGCGTTGCTGAGGAGGGGAAAAAAATATAATGAATGTTTGAGGGATCTTGCGGACGGGCGAATGGCTTGATCCACGTCTCAAGCAGCTACAACAACAAATTAAACGAGAAAGTCTCGAGGCTTTCGTCGGCCGCGCCGACGTCTCCTGCCTATGGTTCCGGCTACAATGCGTGGGTGTAGGGTATACAGTACCGAGGTGTATGGGCAACGCGTATTTCTTCCGCGGCGATGGTGGGGGCGAGCTGGAACGATATTGTGTAAAGAGTATAATAACGTGCGTATGAAAGGCCGGATCCTTTGTGGGTAGCCGACCGTGTCCTGAAAGGATCTTCCAGGATTTGCTCGTGGGGGTGGCGGGGAACAACGAGAGGAAAGAACCACCGAGGGTTAGGGGCACCAGCTGAGAAAACACGCCCGCGGCGTGTCGACGAGATGTTCGCGTACGAGCGTGCGCTCGTCGACGAAAAGGGGCGGACTGGCGAAGCGATCTGATCTGATTTTTCGAAACGATCGTCCCTTAAATTCCATTAAAGGGAAGCGCGGAGCGCGGCCTTCATTTCGCGCTCCGGGATTAAAAGCTACGCCCCGTCTCGACGGACTAACTCATTGTATTTGGTTACTGACTGAAATTACGGTCGCTATATATCGGCGTGTGTAATCTGGCCTGAGCCTGGAGGGACGAACGCGATTGCGCTGATGACAACCGAGCGCGGCTCAGATAGGAAAGGAATAAATTATAATCAGAGTCGCGCGCGGTTGCAAAGAGCGACGGTGATTGCGAGTCGGGGTAGCGCCGGGGAATTAAGTCCGTTTGTACTCGGCTCTCGCCGACGAGTCTCGCCGCTCTTGGGCGACAGATTTTATTAGGGATGAAATATCTTCAGCGAGAGATACCGCGCAAAAACTTCAATTGGAACAATAACGGCTGCGTAGATAAAAAACGACGACCAGCGCGACGGAAATATAGACGAGAGCCGTTTCTCCTCCTCGCGAGCCCCTCGCGATTCGTCGTTCCCTCACGTGGCGAGCCTCTACCTTTGACGGAGGCTGAAATTGCAGCGGCAGTATGTTACCGCGTAATCTAGCCACCGACGGTACGGAATAAGCCGCAGAAGCGGATCCGTGAACGGCGGAAGCGGCGTGTGCAATGCGGCTGAATACGAAACATAAATTATAATCAGCCCCGGATCAGGCGCGGGATAGCCATGATTACAACGGAGAACGTGATGAGACTGCGGGCGATTCGATTTGCGCGGCCCACGCCCACGCATCAAAGAGACCGACGACGAGATCACGAAAATGCTCCGTGAGTCTCTTTCCAGCGATAAATCCACCAAGAGGCTCTCGGTGGACCGCGCTGAGGCCAGCGACAGCTCTGTCAGCCGAATATTCGTATGAGCTAGGGAGAGGGTAAATTCTTGGGAAGAAAAAAAGAAGCAACCGATAGTTTGGATTTGTGTCCAGCGATAAATCCACGACGAGACTCTTGGTTGAACGCGTTAAGAACAGTCTTGGGAAAGAAAATTTTTAAGAAGGAAAAATGCTACAGGGGAAAAATTCTCTTTTATCCTGAAACTTATGCGATCGTGGAACAATGCAGCATTTCAAGGAATTTTATGGAATAAATTGTATACTAAATATAATTGCTAGTGAAATGCATGGTGAAATTTCGAGAAACTCTCATAAAGCTGTTCAAAATGCCCACGTTGTCCCACGATCGCACCTCGGGGTAAATTTTAAGAGAAAATTCTCCCCGTGTACCGACGGCACCGAATTTATTTCTTAAATCTATAAAGTGTCACCCCTGCTATCTTTCCTGTACATTTAAGCCTTCGCATTAATCGAAATGTATTAGACTCCGTCGGGATTTAAAGGGGCAGTTATTCAACTTTGCGGCAGATGCAACCCGATACGAGTTTACGCAGACCTGTCGGCAAGTTTAATTCCCATTCGGGTTTTATTTGCAAACAATGCGCTGTAAGGCCCAGCTAAAGCCGTGCACATTGTCGGGGCACGACGATCGCAAACATCGAGATTTACCGCGAGCCGTATATCCCACGCCCGTGTGCGCGCATGGTTTCGCGAAACCGATAAATTTAATTAAAGCACGTGCCGATAACTCGGAGTACGCGTGTGTGTTTCGATGGGAGGTTGAACGCAAGGAATCGACGGGCGTGCTCGATTGTGCAGTCGCTTTCCGAATTGCGTCCATAAATATCAACGGCGTCGGCGTTATGCGGTTCTAGCGCTGGTCCGTTTGCTTGAGCAACGTTTCGCGCGCGGAATGTTCAATGAAGCGTGTAGATGCATTGTGCAGTGTGTGCGCGCGCGCGCACACCACGTGTCGTCCGGTTACGAGAAACCGACGGCCACGGCGTGAGATCATCCGCGCGAACACGACACCGCGTCTCGTCGGAACAGCGGGGTCTGCCTTGACATGGGTACCGGACGAACGGAGTTTTGACGATTCCACTAATGAGTTTGGCGATTTATCTGTTTTCGTAGGCAACTGCCTTCGTTAATGCGAGCTCCTTGAGTCACGTCTCGCGCATGTTGCTTTCGGGATTGGAAAGTAACTCGTTACTGGTAACGAAGTTACAGTTGCAGTTACTCCTTTTTGGTAACTCTAACTTAACTCCGTTACCTTGTCTCAATCTGTAACTGTAACTTAATTCAGTAACATTTTTTCGATAACTATTTAGTAACTAATTTCGTAGTTACTTTATATATTTTTTACACAGACTAGAACAACACAAGCGCGCGCTTCGCGCGCGCCATTGTTCTTCCACATTTTATTACATAAACTGTCAAATAACCCTCCTAAATACAAACTGTCGAAACCGCAAGTCGAAGTGAACGACTCGCAACGAGATCGACACACAAACTGTCAAAATACACCTCTTAAATGCAAACTGTCAAAACCGCAAGTCGAAGAGAATCGACTCGCAACAAGATCAAAATCGAGTTTCGAGAGAGCCAATCGGCATCGCGGAAAAGCGACAACAATGAACTCGCAATGCCTTTTTTAGATAGGGATCGCATTAGGTCTTGCATTTGCACATAAACGCTTTTATCGACACTTTATAATTCAAACGCAATTTGATATTTTTATTTTCACCGAGCAACTTTCTCCGCTGTGCGCGGCCATTGGCTGCGGAAAAGGCTGCTTTGCGCCAGTTGTAAAATTCGTAAATTTCATTGAAGCATGCCCTTAGATTCTGCCACAATTAAAAGCATACGCCAATCAGATTCAAGATTTTTACAACAATTGCAATGCAACTTTTTTTCAGCCGAACGCGCGGCCATTATGCGCGAAAAGTATTTCCATCTATGTGTGTCCGTCCTATAAAAAATAATCTTCCAAGGTCACAAGGCAATTTTATGAGAGAGGTGGTCTTCAACAGAGAGTGTATTTCGCATTGCGGTCATGCCATAATTAATCCAATTCTCATTCAACCGGCGTAGTCGGCCTCGCGAAATTTCTTTTCCGTCGAGGTGGTTAGTTCAGCTTAGCAAACCGAGCGAAGGAACGTCAGCGAGCAGCGATAGGATCTTTGAAAGGCACGGCGGGTAACGCCCGCGTCGTGCCACGCGACTAGACAGATTTCGGAGAGGGAAGAAAGCAGACGTCCGTCTCTTACACGTGAATCGAGCGTGACGCGTACGCGCCTTGACGGACGGCCATATTAAATCAACTGCCCGGCTCTTCCACTCGTTTGTTTCTCCTTTCAAGCCGGATTCAATTTTCTCCACGGCGCCTTGCAAATCGAGGGATATAACCGCGCGGCCAAAATTTACAAATACGATGCCCGACACAATGCCCGCCTTTCAAGAACGGGCCAGTGGTTGCCATCCGTCGCTTATTCGCTCGCATGACAATGTAGCGCCGTCAGTCAATTCCTATTTCGTTTCTTTTCTTAGGCATTCGTTCCGTTAATTATTTTTATTTATTTCGAAACCGTCAAAATCTGCAAGAGGTACCTTATTAGAGCGTCTAAAGGATTGTCATGAATGTTGCGAATTTAGGAACGTGCTCTCTGAGAGTTAATCAACGGATTATCACTGAAAACAGTGAATAATCGCTGATTTGCACCCGGGAAAAAATGTATATATCTAATTATATCCGAGTATATCTAACTCAGATATAAGCAGATATGAATTTTGTCCCAATCATATACAACGTAAATGTGAGTTAGATACCGTTTAACAACACACAAATATGAACAAAATATTCAAAAGATTTTATTTTACCAATACTTCATCAATATTTTTATAGTCCTAGATTGAATAAATGCTACATGATCATGTATGTATACAGGGTGTCTGACGCAAGAGAACCCCCACGAAAAGTGGTGGTAGATTAGGTCAGACTAAGAAGAAAAGTCATGTACCATTTTACAAAATTCATTATTACCACCATTTT